CAGGAATTTATGTGATAAATGAACAAACTAAAACTGAGTCTAAAGTGGAGCTACATGTCAGGGTTTCTTGGCTCTTCTAACCAATTCAGTTAGAAATCTGAGGGGAAGACCTACACATTTAACAGGCAAAGGGTATGATACTCTGGTATGTACACCCTGTACTCGACACCAGCCTTTAAAGGAAATTCTGAATTTAAAAGTAATTTAAAAATAGGCAGCAGAGGGCAGCAGCACAGAAACCCCATGTGCTTGGTAGCGAAAGTAATAGTTTACTAATGAATAGTGCCAGGTGCCAACATGCTTGGTCCTTCCTGGGGAAGTGGTGTGCATGACACTGTCAGTCAGGTTACAGGGTGCTTGTAACTGGTCTACCCCTGGTATGCAGGAGGCATTAGAAACTGTGTTCTGATTAAATTGAACTTATGTTACAGATAGTGTTTTGGTTGTCTCTGCTGTGGGGCTGATCTAAACACTTCTGAGATTTACATATTTTGCTGAGGGGCTTAAAACTGTCCAGCTCTGTTGAATGAAAGTTTTTTTTCTTTTTCCCCAGTTGTCATTAGAAAGTCACTTCTGTCAGGCAGCTGAATAACCAGTCCCCAGGTGATGGCTTGGGACAGATTTCACTGCCTTGCTTACCCGGTTTGCTATGCTGATAGCTGATGTGGGTCAGCTGTAATTGTCTAATTCCAGCACAAATGACTCACTTCACCACAAATGATTCCCTGGAATCTCTTCTGCTGCACTCTTTCTTCAAATAAAATCCCAAAGCAAGAGCTGTAAGAGGGGGAAGCAAAGACTTGTGCCCAGAACTTGCTGCCTGTCCTGCTCATTAGGCATCATTTTCCCCCAAGCACAAGTACATTTATTGTACTTGGAACTAAACTCGGTGGCTTTTATACTGCATGTATAACCCTTTATACTCCCAGAAGCACTGTAGCCACACTTGCCAGCATCACAAACAGAATTCTTTCTTTTTAATGACTATGCCCTATTTTTTTATTCTTTTTTTTTCTTTTTTTCCTGTATAGACAGAGGAGAATTGTTTGTATGGGGCAAGAATCTAAGAGGGTGCCTGGGAACTGGAAGAATGGAAGACCAGTATTTCCCATGGAGGGTAAGGACGGTAGTATTAAGGCCAAGAGTATATTCTTTAGCTAGTCTTTGTTATCCTGAGGGCAAGAAACATCATATGCTGCATAGTTTCGTTGAGTAATTTTGTAAGAAGTGGAAGCCTAAGATGGCTGTAGAACTGTTTTGTTTTCCAGAGATCCTTGCCTAGCCTGCTGAGTCTTCTGGTTCTGCTATTTCAGTATAGATTTGAGATCCCAAAGCAAAATTCGGTGCTGTACCATCACTTCTGAACAGTTCTTCTCTTTCTCCTGTCCACAGTCTTCTACCTGCTACCCCTTACTGCCTCTTCCCTCCCCTTCTATCCTGCACTTCACTTTTATACGTGCTGCAAAGAAAACCTCCAGTATTGGTCATCTGTGACTTGCATTACACATCTAAATTAGGTGAACATTTGGTCATGGTGGTCAGACTATAGTGGCAGCAGGTCCACATAGCAGTGGGCTGCCTTCCCCTGCTCCTCTTCCAAGTCAAGCAGCTATGGTGGGGGGGTCACTGGACTGCCTATGTAGTTACAGTAGGAGATCCTTAGCCACTGAACTGTTTTTTCATAGCTGTTTCGCAATGCTTCCAGTTCCACTCCCTTCTCTCAGATGGCTCTGAGAGCCAGACTCTGTGGGTGTAGAAGAGTCTTTGGCTCTGGAGTTCGGCACTCAGCTTAACAGATGTTCCCAGTCTCCATGAAGGCCAAGTGGGAGAGGAGGGAAGCAATCAGTTGGACCACCCTGGAGTCCTTTTCCGTGTGTCTGAACTTGCAGTGGATGTGTTTCTTTGGCATGCTTTCTCCTCCTTTTAAAAATGAAGACCAACTCTGGAGCATTTGCCTAAAATCACACTGCTGTGGCTGAGTGGAGTCTCTGAATTCACCAAGCATGGCATGTCCAGGTTTCCCTAAGTGTGGACACAGAGGGTTATGCTCCCTCAAACAGCCAACTCCTGTCTGACATTACGATGGCAATGTACCAAAACAAGGGCAGTTACCAGGGTACTTGTCCGTGATCTCCTGCTCTAGAACTGGCCGTCTCTCCTCTCCCTTGGCTCTAAGGAAAAACTTCCACTTGTAGCCTCTGCTTTCCTTGAATTTGAAGTCAACTCTAAGTGAAAGAGCTGTAACTATACTAGTGAGTGAGTTGGGTCTGCTTAGCATCAAAGCATAAATTGCCTTAGGCTGAGTTGAGCTTTTGCCTCGTTCCAGTCCTTGCTCATGAGAGAAGAGGTAAATCCTTGTGGCGCTTGGGCAGATCCTCTTCCTGCTGTCTGGATTACTCTCTCTTCGGTCATGCTGTTTCTGCTGCTGAACAGATGGGCTGAGGCTACAGTCTCCTCACTGTCTGCTAGTGAGACCTCTTTCTGTCCTTCCAAAGGTTTACGTGCTTCTGTGAAGGGAGAAAGGGAATATTTCACAGCTCAGTGCACAAACATGTCTGGTGCTGAACCTTGCTTTCTCTGGGTTTTCAAGATGGCACTTTCATAGGTACAAGTCCCTGTGAAACCAACTGGCATGTTAAGCAGAAAGAGGATGAGAAATAGGAAATACCAGGTGCAAAGTACCAGCTTGAGAAATAATCCACTTTTGTGTGTCTGATCCAGGTGACTGTACCCGGTGAGGTGGTGGATGTTGCGTGTGGAGTTGATCATATGGTAAGCTTGGTTAAGTCTTTCACCTAGTGATGTTGCTGGGCCTCAGCACTGTGCTAAGAAGACAGGGGGACTTGGTGACGACCTTCTTGGAAAGAAAGACACGTTCTGTGAAGCCAGGCAAGAAGTGACTGTGAGCAGAGACAGCCATAGCAGTGCCTGGGTCTGTTGTCGTCTCTGCATCATTGAAATGCTCTGGCCTGGCTGCAGGAAGGAGGTACGTTCCCCGAGGAGAGTGGAAATGCAGGGAGTGCTCTGGCTGGTTCCTGATGAGCTCCCAAAGAGTCTGAGGCCCAGCCCACAGCTGGGGAGTCCCTCTGTGTGTAAGGATGAAGACCATCTCCCTCAGGAAAAACTGGCACGAGGTGAAATTTGTAGCACAGGACATTCATTTATGGATGCTTTCCTTGTCACCAGCTCTGGGGTATCAATGTTGGGTTGAGCCAAACTATTTCTCAAGGGATTTTTAATAACTATTTTTTATGTGGAAGAAAGGCCATGCTGGCTTATGGAGTCCAGCACAGCCGTCCTTGGTGTCCGCCACCAGCTGTGCTCTGCCCAGGCTGCTGTTCCCTGCGGAAGCTGGATGCTCGGCCCGTGGCCTGGAGGCAGTAGTGTGCTAGCAGGGGAAGGAGTCTTAATGGGCAAGAAGCAGAGCCTTGTTTCTTGGTACTTTCTTAGCAGAGAAGTTGTAGTGGGCGCGTTTAGGACACGGTAGGCTGCTGGAGATGGGATGCAACAGCTCTATGTACCTGTAACAGGCACTTAACAAATCTCATCCTGAAGTGTGGGAAACTGTCTCCTCTGAAATACTCCAAACATCAGGCAGAGTTGTATCATTTTTTCTGTGTGGGATACTTCTACTGTGTAAATTATTTTGGCAAAAATCCAAGCTGATATGTTTTTAATAAAGCGGTAATGGAAATGTTCTTGAGCTTGACTTCACACGCGGGCTGCTCTGTCTTGCACTCTGCATTTAAACTTAAGCATTTTGGTTCACAGTGATTGATGGGAAACCTCTTTTGTCAACCGAGACACCTATGCACCTGCAGGACTCATACCGTTGTAGGCAGGCACTGTATCCACGGTCCCAGGGACACCACATACTCACATTTTGGCTCTGTTATCTGAAATTCTATATCAAATCTGTTGTTTAATTACCAAAACTCAGGGGCTAAACTCTACTTTGGTGAAGTAAGTCTTGAAGGACTTTGCATAAAATATAGGAGAGGTGAAACGAAGTGCACAGAAATTAAGAGATGCATATGAGTTGTTATTAACATTACTGTGTAACTGGTATTGCTGTGGTGGGTTGAGGCAGAACAAGCAGAAAGCTACCGTTAAATTGTGGCAGACCTTCACTGCTGTGAATTCCCATTAAGTTAGCTTTAATTTATACCTCCTCCTATATGCGACTTGGGCAACTTGAGCTGCCCAAACATGTCTTGTTGGCCTCATGGGAGTAGCTGTGCCTTTTTAACATGAGGAAGCTTATTAAGGCATTGAAAACAAATGTAAAAAACCTATGGTAGGAAAGGTGTTTCTAACAACCCCCTTCGAGGATTTGCTGTTTGAGGAGGGCTGCGCAGGGTGGCTGGTTAGCGCAGGGCAGCGCTGCAGGCTTTTAGCTGCTCTTGTTCAGAAGTGTTTCCTGATGCCACTTGGGGCTGGGCCTTTTGGAGAGCTGGGATGAGAACTACTGCCGTGTCGTACCTGGTTGTGTTGCAGTCTTGCTGTGCAATAAATTGCAAAATCTGTGTGTTAATTAGAAGCCAGCAAGGTCTTTAGCCCTAAATAGAAGTGGTGTATGGCTTAATGCAGTGGGAGTGTTTGCACTTGGCTGTGGGCATTGTTGAACAGGCTGCTTGATGGGAACAAGGTTAGTGGCGGAGAGCCTACGGTCTGGCTGACACCAGCACTGACCCTTGTTTTGGGGGGTTGACCTTGGCCAGGTGCCCACCAAGCTGCTCTGTCACTCCCCCTCCATCAACAGGATAGGGGGAGAAAATACGATGGAAAGCTTCTGGGTTGAGATAAGGACAGGGAGATACTTATCAGTTACCATCATGGGCAAAACAGGCTCGACTTGGGGAAATTAATTTATTGCCAATGAAACAGAGCAAGATAATGAGGATTAAGAAGAAATCTAAAAACACCTTTTCCCCCACGGCTCCCTTCTTCCCAGGCTCAACCTTACTCCTGACTGTTCTACCTCCTCCCTCTCCTTGGTCACTGACCTTGGTGTTTGCATGGTGGTTTCTCACATATTCTCACTCTTCTCTCCCAGCTGCTCTTGCGCAGCTGTTTTTACCCCTTCTTAAGTATGTTATCACAGAAGCGCTACCACTGTTGCTGATGGGCTCGGCCTTGGCCAACAGCGGGTCTGTCTTGGAGCTGGGTGGAACTGTGCCCGACATGGGGGCAGCTCCTGGTGCCTTCTCACAGAAGCCACCCTTTGCCACCCAATACAAGCAGGCGTTGCTGGAATGATTTGATCCGCAAGATCAGACTGGAGCATGTCCAGAGCCATTAGTGAGGCTGTGGCAGCAGTCATTTCGTTATTCATAGCGTCTTGCACTACTTGCAAAGTTACAGGTGGCCTGAGACCCCCGGGCCCAACACCAACTCCCACTGTATTTGCATTTGCTCAACGGTTTTGTACAGAGGGGTCGGTGTGCGAAGTGGACGGCGAGAGCTGCCAGGGTGGTGACAAATGCAGTAGCACGCTGCACTGCGTGTCCTCGGCTGGGCCGGTACTGTCCTGTGCGCTCTTCATGCAGCAATAGTCTGTGGCCGAGGTAGTGATCTGAACTGTGGGTGGGTTTGTTGCTCTCCTGCCCTGCCTCCAGCGAGCCTTGTGTCGCAGCTGAAGTGCTGGTGGGATGTGCTGAGCTCGTGGTTACCTGGGCTGGAGCTGCACTTCCAGGTTGCTGTTGTACCGGCAGGATCCTGGAAGCGCGGGGACAGCCGTGCTGGGCTAAAGCTGAGCCCTCTTTCCTCTGGCTGCTGGGGAAAGCAGTTTAAGTGGCAAAAGGTTCCTCGGAGTGATAACAGAGAGAAGAACGTTGTCTGTAATGCCATGTTTTCTAATTGCCAGCATCATACTGTGAATGTTAAAATGCAGGTGGAAGAAGGTTGGTGTTCATAGGCCCAACTGCCCTCTGCAGCAAATGGCAGGGGTGGAGGCAGCGCTGGCTTCAGCACCAGCTAGGCTGAGCTGCCGTTCTGCCCTATAGCCCTACAATCCAAACACACGTGAAGAAGTCTTCTGCTCCCTGCAAGCCTTCAGCGTGAAACACTAAGTAAACCGAAAGCCTCTGCGGCCCTTGCAAATGGTGGTCACGGGGAGGAGGATGTTTGGCCACCGTCTTTGCACCCTGCTCATCTGCGAAGCCTTGCGGCGCTGCCAGCGTGGTGTTTGTCTGTGGATGAATAAGGACTGAATGGAAACCAGATGTCCAGCTCCGCAGCCTGCACAGCTCGGCCTTGCTGTCAGCGAGCTGGGGAGAGGCTGCGGAGGAGACGCAGAAGATGCACGAGCCCGTCTCGTAGCTGGTGCGTTTCATGGCGTGTTGGACCTGTGGCCATCTCCACAGCACCGTCCTGCCTCGGCTCACCCAGCCGGTCGGAGATGGTGTGTCCTTGGGGTCTTTCCCCAAGGCTTGCTAAATGGGTGCGTTGGCCAGAAAGCAGGAGCTGCCGCGCTGGCATCAGTGCCCTGTGTGTCAGCGCGGGTGAACCGCATTCATGCTTCTCTCCTGTGGTTTTTTTTTTAATATTACAGTCTCAAATTTATTAACATAACTTTTAACATATGCAATCTGTTCACTGTGTTATGGTTTCCACTCTCATTACAACAAATTTTTGTTTGTTTGTTTGAGGGTTTTTTGGGTGGGTTGGTTGGTTGGTTTTGTTTAATAAAGACTTCAGCGTTGGGCTTCCCTCCTGCCAGCAGAGCAGCCCCCACTGTGCCACCCCTCAGCCTGGCACTGGGCTGGCCAGGCCACGTTTTTGGCATCCAAGCTCAGCTGGCGGCCGGGCCCTGCCAGGAGCCAGTACTCGCGTGGCATCACCACGTGCACAGCTCGTCCCTGTGGGACAGCAGCTTGTGCTGTGGAGGGGGAAACTGAGGCTGGGGAGAGCCGGCACCTTCCTCGGCTCTGGCTGCCAGGACAGACGGCGCAAAGAAGCATCTACAAAATGAATTCTTGCAAATGGGGGTTCCTTTTGAGGGGGAAACAGGAATGCACCCCGCTAAAAGGAGCCCTTTCAGTGGCGTGTCGCTTCTCACTACAAGCAGTCAAAAAAGATGGGAGACTTTCCGTTCCCAGTTTTTTGCATCTTTCTTTCGAGCCTGGCTGACAAATGTCCTGCTCATCTGGGCTCGCTCCTCCCAGTTTGGCTGTGGGTCCAGTTTCAAGGCAAGCACTGGCAGATGGCTGCTGCCAGCTTGCCTGTCCCCTCCGGCCGTCGGGCTGGTGGAGGCGCTGGCTCTGGTGCCCACCAGCACCGTGCTGCTCTGGGAACGGCTCTTTTGTTGCAGCTTGTCAGAGCACGAGCCTGGCTGGGCAGGAGCCTGAGCGGCTGCAGGACGGAGCTGTCGTTCCCGGGGCCTGGGGAGCTGCTCTGGTGCCGGGTTTCTAAACAAGACTTGCTTGTCATTGTCAAACAGGCCTTCACCTCTTGCTAAAGGAGGGGACCTTCATGGCTAAATTTGGTCAGTCTTTGGGACTTCTCCCAGTTGCCGTGATCGAGGTTGTGTGCTGGCTGCGCTGCATCAGAGACAATGAAGGGGCGATAGACAGGAGCGTCTCTGGGCTGCAGCATCTTGACGCGTCCCCAGCTGCAGCAGAGCAGTGTCCTCCACGTGAGTGCAACCTCTGGAGAAGGGGAAGGATGGACACTGGTGACTTCTGGCACTAAAAGAGGAATGCTCCTGCCCACCTAAAGTCTTACAACTACAAAGTTGTCCTCAAAGTTGAAGAGGAGCCAGATGTGCCTTCAACCAAAGGCTCTGGTCCACACGATCATGCAACACCACCAGGAAAAAAAAAAAACACAACTGAAAAAAGATCAGAGTTTATTTTTAATAGCCCTTTCCCATCCTAGAGCCCTTGGCCTTGTCAGCTTTCCTTGGGGGCTGTGCAGCTCTGGTTCATATGTTGAGAGCAGCTCAGCATATTTTATGCTTCTGCGGTAGAGTCACCACACCCCAAAACACCCCAAA